TAATAATTTTGTAGCAAAAATTTTTACTCTAATCCCTCTAGATAGATGTCTTTTATGTTAGTCTGTACACTCTGAAAATAAATGTCAAGGCAAGATTTAATGTGCAAGGGTCCCTCACTTCTCTTCCTGGTTGTTGATTGGAGGAGAGTGTTTTTTTGTTTTTGTTTTTGTTTTTGTTTTTGTTTTTGTTTTTGTTTTTACTGATATTCTCAGCGTGCCTAGGAGATGCTAGGGCAGGTGTGGATGTTACCTTGGAGTCCAGTAGTTCGAGGCTTAGTTCCTTACTTCAGTTAGGTTGAAGGTATGTCTTGGCTGGGTACCACTATGGTCATGACATCCTTCTTATTCCATTCATACCATGACACCCTTTCTCAATATAGACAACCTTTTTTACCTGCACACATTTAACATCTCCCTCCCATGGATGCCCTTACTAGTCTGCCTTTGACTTTACTATATGGATCCTTCTTCATTCTTCTTTGAGTCAGGCTTTTATACCGCTTACTGATCTGACTCCCCTTCCCATTCCCCATTCAGGCTCTTCATATTTTGCTTAGACCAGCCCCACCCGCCTCCTATTTTGTACTGTCATTCTGCCTTCCATACATACACCTGACTTGTCGGATTCCACTTAGTGGACTTGGAGTAAAAGTCAGCCGAGTCTCTTTTATCTAAAACTGCCTGGATACGTACTTTCTCAATTGACAGAGAAAAGGTTAAGAAGATCTGAAGAGAAATTTTGAGGCTTCAGGTGTGAAGGGATAGAAGTTTGGATATTAATGAATGAATCTAGGGTGACTGTGGGACACCTTCATAAAGCTGGGATGCAATAGAGGGCTCTAACTGGAGATGGTGGAGTCAGGAGCTTGAGGCAGCTGGTCACACTGCATTTCAGTCAGAAAACAGAGTGATAAATCTGGTGCTCAGCTCACTTCCCCTTTTCAATCTAGAACCTAGCACACACAGGTGGGGGCGAATACACAGACAGACAGACAGACAGACACTGATCCTAGCTTGTGTTTCTGAAACCTGAAAGCCCATCCCCCAGTGCACACTTCCTCCAACAAGGCCATACCTTCTCCAGCAAGGACATACTTCCTAAGCCTTCTCAAGTAGTGCTACTCCGGGATGACCAAGCATTCAAATATATGAGCCTGTAGGGCCATTCTTATTCAGATCACACAACTATGTATAACTGAGGATCTTTTCAGCTATTTTGTGGTTTTTCTTAAATTTTTGACTCCCCACCATGGGAGATAAAGAACCAGAATTACTAAAAGGCAAAACAAGAGCAATAATAGTTTGAAATAAATTTGAAATATTTTTTAGTTATAGTATTAATAGTCTATTAAAGATGACAAGATTTTTTTTCTGTCTATTTTGTTTTGAGACAGTATTATTATAAAGACTAGGCTGGTCTTAAATTCACAAGTTTCTTGCCTCATCCTTCTGAATTCTAGGATTACAGGTGTGAGCTAATAAAACTATTTGATAAGGAGGAAAAATATTCAATGACTATAATTTATAAAAAACTAAATATAATTTATAAATAAATTTAAGAGTTTAGAAAGCATTTATCTTTGTGGTGCTGGGATGACATGAGTAAGAAAGGACATCTCCTTTCTGATATGGCCTCAGATCTAGTGGAGGAAGGCCATACATATAAATGTGTGTGTGGATCCATAGGCACTTCCTATGCAGCAGGGCTTATTCTAGTGCTTCTATACAGTTAGTACTATGGGGAGAGGCAGGGCAAGGAGAGAGGGGAGCTTAGTGTAGGGGCTTTACTGTTTTTAGTGGACTAGTGGGAGAGTGTGCATGTGTGTGTGCAGGTCTGTGTGCCATACAGAGCCTGAAGTGGATGTTGGGTGTCTTCCTCTACTGCTGTCCAACTTATATTTTGCAACAGGGTTGCTCAGTAAACCTGGAGCTTACGATTTCCTCTAGATTGGCAGGCTAGCAAATGCCTGGTATCTGACCATTGCTCCCCTGCCCAGCACTGGGTTCATAGACTTGGATTGAAATGCTACAGTTTTACATGGGTGCTGGAAATCTGATCTGAGCTCCTCATGCTTATGAAGCAAGCACCTTATCCACTAAGCTATATTATCAACCTACCTGTGGCCTTCTGACAGCCATTTGTGAACATGTACAAGATTTCTCCCACCCCCACCCCCCAACCCCCAAAACCAAACTAGACCCAGTTGACATGCATGTGTTAATAAGCAATGCTTTACCTTCTTGTTTCAGCTCCACACCATAAACAAATATCCTTTTCATGTCTGTACTGAAATAGTTTCTAATTTTTGTTCCTTTTGTTGTTGATTCTATTGTTTAAAATGACACCCAGTTGTACAACCAAATTGCCCTCTAATGTTTGCAAGTTCTGAAAGGCTATGATACTACCTTATGAAGAAAATAATGCATGTTTAGATAAGTCTCATTCCAACAAGAGTTATACTATTAGGCCATGAGTTCAATGTTGAGACAATAATATACATTAAATAAGCTGTCTTTAATCAGAAGTAGAGTTCTGAGTTGGCTGGTAGATAAACAGTGTTGTGATCTATACACTGACGGGAATCATTTTCCCCCAAGAGCAGTGGCTTGGGATTTACTAATTAAGTGGATAGGCCAGTTTCACCAAACATATTGACACGATTAAAAGAATTAACTGTATTTACTTAACAGTGGCAATCTATAGAGATTTTAGGTATTGTGAGTGGTATTATTCCCATTCCATCTGAGACTATTGTTTCAGTTATGTTTAATAGTTCCTTGTAGCTTTGTAATGTGAAATCGTACTTTACTGTGAGTTCTGGTCAAAAAGGCTAAATGACATTGCTTGACACAAGCAGAAATGTGTCTTAGATTTGTTGTTGTTTTGTTTTTTGAGGGGCGTGTCTTTGAGATAGGGGGTCTCTGTGTAGCCTTAGGTGTTCTGGAACTCAACTTTGTAGACCAGTTTGGCCTCACACTCAAGACATCCATCTGTCCCTGCCTCCCAAATGCTAGGATTAAAGGCGTGTGTGCCACCACTGCCTGGCTTGAATTTGTTTTATAATTTATTCTTGGTAAGACTTGTGATTAGGTAAAGAAACAATTGTAAATACCTCTCTCTAGAATATTAATGTGGATTTGAAGTAAATCCTTATTTTAGAATAATAATGTGTGAACACTGCATTAATTCTGGTGTTAGAACAGGCAGTATAAGTGTTAGCACATACTACTGCCAGGGTTTTATCATGTGTTTCTTGGAGACTAAGGCACAAGAAGAAGATGCAGTTACAAGTTCTTAAATCGAGGCTGGTTTTGAAGCCAGCATCCTTGACAAGGGTAGTACTTTTGAGCCTCAGTTGTCTAGTGTTTAGTTAGAAATATTTCCAGTTTGAAAGTTGTACGGTTTTGTCAGTACCGTTAACATTCTCAGCATGTCCAGTTGTGAAAGAAATAGTTCAGCATTTTGAATATTGTAGCGTAAAAAGTATATTAGCTGTCAGACTTTCATTTTTCTAAACTCTAGCTAAGTCTCATTACATATTGATAAAAACATAAGTTCTGTACTTGATAAGTATTGACATGTACTTCTACTGCTATGAAATAGTAGAGCATTTTAAAGCTTTAAAGTTGAAAATTTCAGTTTAAACACAGTAGGATATTATGTACATTTGTGTTTTATGTAAGTGTTCTGATTCATACAAATCTTTCTCTAAAGTGTTCAGAATTAGTTTGTAAAACAAAATATGCATTCTTGGCTGATTAATTTATTAACCTTTTTGTATAAAGTTTCAAGTTCTAGGTGCATTTTAAAAAAATGTATGTAATGTGTTGAAATTATTTTAGGAAAATTAAACATGATCAAATATCAGCAAAGAATGTTCTGTATAATACACACACTAAAAAATGTAACATGAAATATTAGATATGCTAACACACAGAAAAAACATTCTCAGTGTGTAAGATTTGAGAAATAAGTTGAAAGCCTCCATAAACACCCAGTCTTAATAATGCTTTTAAAAATGGAACAGCGAGTCTTGGCTACAAATTCTAGCTCATGGACCCTTTTCTTATAAATTAATTAATTAGTTAATTTATGTATGTGGGTATTTTTGTTTCCATATATGTATGTATATGCCTGGCCAGAAGAACGTGTCAGATCCCCTGGAACTGGAGTTACAGAGGGTTGTGAGCCACCATGCAGGTGCTAGGAATTGAACTTGTGTTTTTTGGAAGAACAGCCAGTGCTCTTAACTGCCGAGCCATCTCTCCAGCCCCATTCTTATCCTAAACATCTGGATTTTATTGTCATTCTCCAGTAACCTCCTTTCTATCAGTGAGCATCTTCTCTATAATGTTCCTTTTCTTGTTTTAGGATTCCTTAGGGTAGGTTACCAGAAGTGGAGTTACTGGGGTTAGAGGGTATGGACTTTTGTGTGTTTTTAACTACAATGTTTAGATTTGTTGTTCAATAGATTTATAGTCATTGTAGACGATAAAAATTACAGTGATTGTGATTCTTATCTGAAGGCAAGGTTTTGTCATTTGAGAAGCTTGGCAAATTGCCAGGATAATAAAGCTTCTTGAAAGGGATTTACGCCAGCATTCCCTGAACCTTGCTGGTAACTTTATAGGTGTTTTTGTTTTTGTTTTTTTGTTTGTATATGTTTAATATTTAGTGAATGATTTATATAGAAAATTGTTTCTGAATTGATGATTTAAAATTTAAAATTGTTTCATTCGCTAAATTATATCTTATAGATCAAAGCAACTAAACCACTAAGCTTTTAGAGTTTTATGAAAAAAAGTAGTTAAAGGTCTTTAGTATGATTTTTTTTTTAAAATGTTTTATAACTTACTTAATTTAAAACTTACTCATTACTAATGAGTGTGTGAATGCTTTCCACAATCTTTGATTATACTTAGACTATAGGAATATGACACAAAAGCAGACAACAACAAAGGTTGTACAAATCTTGTTTATTCCCCTTTTCCTCCTACAGAATGTGAAAACCTTTGCATCTTCTGATAGTCTAGCCAAGGTCCAAGAAGTAGCAAGCTGGCTTTTGGAAATGAATCAGGAACTGCTCTCTGTGGGCAGCAAAAGACGACGAACTGGAGGCTCTCTGAGAGGGAATGCTTCCTCAAGCCAGGTTGATGAGGAACAGATGAATCGCGTGGTTGAGGAGGATTCACAGCAGCAAGTGAGACATCAAGAGGAGGAGCACATTGTGCGGAATGGTGAACTTGTGGGTGCAGACCCTAGGCCTGGAGACCAGAACGATTCTCAGCAAGGACAAGTGGAAGAAAATAATAATCGCTTTATTTCAGTAGATGAGGACTCTTCGGGAAACCAGGAAGAGCAAGAAGAAGATGAAGAACATGCTGGGGAACAGGAGGAGGAGGAGGAGGAGGAAGAAGAGGAGGAGGAGATGGACCAGGAGAGTGATGATTTTGATCAGTCTGATGACAGTAGCAGAGAAGATGAACATACACACAATAGCAATGTCACAAACTGCAGTAGTATCGTGGACCTGCCCATTCACCAGCTCTCTTCTCCATTCTATACAAAGACAACAAAAGTGAGTATCTTCAGTCTCCTTTCATCTGATATGTTACTTCACTATTTCAGTTATAATGAAATCATTCTTACAGTTTGTAGTACTGCCAGCTAATCTTCACATGTAGGACAACTTTATTAAGTTTTACTTTGGTAAAGGCATCAGTGTTATATAGATACTTATAAGAAGGCAACCTAATTGCAAAATGAGGGGGAAAATTGATGTCGTTTGCCACAAAAATATCACCAGTTTCACATTTGCTGCCAGAGTGGTTTGGGTGAGTGTGCAGGGTTGGCGTGAAACATGATGTGTGTAAATCAAGTAATGAGGAATCTTACTTGCAAAGTAGCTAATGTAGTCCCTGGCTGTGTTTTCACCAGAGTTAACTCTAATGTGTAAGTTGATGGAAGTCACAGCAAAAAAATGCTTTGTTATTCATAAGTTAACTGTGGCTCCTGGGTGTCCAGGTAGAACAGCCTTGAGTTAACTTGCTGTAGGGATTGCATTTGAGTAATAGGTCACTTGTTCTATACACATAAAAACAGCCCATAGCAGACATCCCTTTACTCATTTGCTGATTTTTAAATTTAACAATGAATCATTGGATTTTGTTCATAAATACCTGTAAATTTAACAGTATCTCTTAATATGGTTTGACTTGGATCGTAGTATCTAATACAGTTGGCTTAAATTTCAATTTGCTAAATCAGTTTTGTTTTAGGTTGTAAAACAAACTGTCTCAGAGAACGTATCTATTTCTAATTTCCAGAGCCCGGTCACATTATTTTATTTACTTGTTGGCTTGACCTAGGAAGGAAATGGTATCAGGTAGTGGTTTTCTCCCATTTAACTTACTCAAGATGGAGGATTTTGGTCTGGACTAACTCTTAGTGTTTTGACTATTGTTTTCTTTTCCAAACAGTCCAGGAAACATAAGTAACACACACAGATGCAGAGACATGCACGTCCATACACATAGGAGTCCATATAACACAGAACTGGAAGCCATACTATATATGCATAGGATCTTTAGGATTAAAAAGAAGAAGCTTTGACAAAACATTTTGAGACAGAGAACCTCCAAAGATGCCATTTAGTCTGTCTGTGTTGATCATCTACTGCTGGGCACTGGACCAGCTCTTAAGAATAGTTTGTTTCCTCAGTGAGACTCTGTTGGAGAAAGCTAAAATTTCATTTGCAAGTAGCTTCTAGGTTACAAATGGGGCTTATGTCTGCTTTTCCTCTCAGTGCTGGGACCTCATCTGGCACAGACCTGTGCATGTTCTCAATAACAAAAGATTTTATTTTTGTTCTGCCCAGTTTCTAAGAACCCTTTCTCTTTACATGTGTTATGCTGCCCCCTGTGGTAGGATGTAACAAACAGTACAACAGTTTCCAAGTGTGATGGGTTTAATAATGAACCCCCTGAGAACTCAGCTGCTTTTCCTGTGTTTTTAATCTGACATTATTGAAGATATGAGGCCACAAGACCTAAGTTGTGAGAGGAAGAAAGTATCATAAGAAAAGGAATTGGAGGCTCTAGAGTCTATTCTATGCTGGCTGTTTGTCTCAGTGTGACAGGTCTTTCCTATGTTCTAGAGTCACCTTGCTTTGCCAGTTATAAGTGTTTGTCTCTGTAGGCTTAACTGTGTCAGCTCTCTATATCTTTTTTTAAAATTATTTTCTCAAGAAATTCTCAGCTCACATTGAATCTTTGGCATGTAATAATTTAGAATACAGATTATTAACTTTTGCTTCTCTTTTATCAGCGCACTTTCAGCTAGCAAGAAAAGCAAATGGGACTACCAGAGGTCAGGTCTTTATCCTCCTGATTTTTTCATGGAAACAAGCATGTTTGGGAAGTTGTTTCTGTAGCAACTCCATTCTTTATCTCTAATTATTAGATTCTGTCTAGTGATGGTTTTTATCCACTTGCTTCCAGAAAGAACTACATATACACAAGCATACACAAGTATACACATGAATATATATGCAAAGTAGATAGTGAATACATTGTGTCTTTAGGTTCTAAACAGTACTGGATGGACAAGGTCTAGTTGCTCATGCCTATAGTCATGGGGACCAGAGAGATGGGCTTTAGACAGAAGCTTAAAGGTAACAGGTTTGTGGTAGCTCTACTAGAGCTGGAACTGCCAGAAAAAACTCTATATAATAATGTAGCCAACAGCTGAAACTAAGGGAAGCCAAGTTAAGTTACACTCTAGAGAATGATGTTCTCCTCAGAAAGGCTATAGCTTAGTTTTGTCCATAACTCTAAAACTCCAGGTTGTATTAGGTCTAGGCATGTCTAGAGAGCACTTGTCTTATATAACATCTGCTACTATGTACAACCCTGTGTGTGACTGTCCTTGCCTTGTAAGTGAGAAGAAATGAAAACATGGTAAGGTAACCATGATTTCATTAACTGATTAACCTGATTCAGAATCTGGGGGAGATGATGACACAGGGAAAGGGGCAGGCAGTGAGGGATGAGGTGGGTTCCCTAAACACGGGGAACGGTTGGTCATTTGTTGTGCTTGAGCTTGGCCTCTGACTCTCTGACTATTCAACTGTACAATGATGCCCTTTTTTCAGAATTTTTTCAAGGATTAAGTAAAATCATATATGTAAAGTGGGTAGTGTAATGCCTGAGAAAAGAGACTAGTGTGTACACATAGTCCTGTGACCTGGCTTTGTCCGTATCTATTCCTTAAAATACAGTACAGTCTCTACAACACATGTATCTTTTTTTGTTGTCTTTAGTGTTCAGTCATTATGTCACTGCTAACATACAAAGGTTATGGAGAAATAAGCAGAAAATAGGTTAATACTTTAGCAAAATGTATGCAAGTAGTTGAACTTAATAAGCTGGGCTTCAATAAAAAGAAAATAAGCTCTAATCAAAGTGTTCTAGATCTTAGCAGTCATCAGGCCGTAGCTGTTACTTGTAGTAGAATTTGTCAGTGCATCTCTACTTTTCCCAAACTTTAACTGTAAAGTTTTGGCTTAAATGCTCTGTAAGCCTTACATTTTCTTTTCTTTTCTTTTCTTTTCTTTTCTTTTCTTTTCTTTTCTTTTCTTTTCTTTTCTTTTCTTTTCTTTTCTTTTTTAATTTTCTTTTTTATTTTTTTACAGACAACAGCAGACCAGACGGTTCCATGAAGGGGGGTTTATTAAGAGAGAAAGAGAGAGCAGAGAAGTAGAGGAGTAGAGGCCAGCCATGACCACATGGAGAGAGGGAGAAGGGAAGGGGGAAGGGGAGAGGGGACAGAGAACCTGCAGGCAGGGATCAAAGGAGAGAGGGGGGGGGGAGGAGGGGTGCATAAGCCTTACATTTGATTAAGAAAGTAAATGTCAACTTGTGATACATTTCTAAGTAATTTCTATTAATACAATTTTAAAAAATTTAACATTGTTTGAAACTATAGTTGCTCAAAATATATTTTGAATCTGTATGAATCAGATTGTTTTTAATTATATCCTATTCACTGAAAGTAATGAAAAGAATATTTTAATTAAGAGCTTTCTCTATAAACTAAAGATATTTTCCCTATAGAACATGTTACCTTACTTAGCTCTTGAGAAGCAGAGGCAGGCATCTCTCTAGGCTAGCCATGGCTACTTGATGAGACCTTGTCTCAAAAACAAAAACAGAATGGGAATTTTAAAGCTTTGAGTACAAATGATATGCTTTTGAAATATGTATTATTACCAAGCAGAGTTATTCTAAGATGTCTTTGAGGCAGATTACTTTATATGTATGATTACAAGGGCAATCTTTTTATGTTATTTTGTTGGTGGCAAGGAAGATGGTATGTATGATAAGCATGCAGTCTTCAGGATGAATTTCATGTTAGTTTTGATATATAACTTCAATATTCTTAAATATTATTATAGCAAGCATTTGTTAGTATCAGAAAAAATAGATACGACTGCTAGAAACCACTTATTTTGCCTAGGCGTTTGTGTAACTTTTATAACGCATAATAGAGGGTTAATGAAAAAGGTTTTCCTCCCAAGAACTGGCATATGCCCTTAAAGGAGGGAGAGAAGTGAGACTAGAAAGTGTCACTCGTGTAGTGGGAAGGGTGGATGCTTTGCTGTCTGGCTTTGATCAGATCTAACATCTCAGACACCCTTGGAGTCCTGGCAAATTCTAACGAGGTCAGCTGAGTACATTGCTTGACGAGGATGACTAAAATGGGGTTATATTTTCATTCTTGTTTGTACGTACTTTATGTATTTGTGGGTGCCCTAGAACTTAGAAGAGGTACTAGATCCTCTGAAGCTGGAGTTAAGACAGCCCTTGGTAACTGATGGGAGGGATTCTGGGAATAATAGTCAGGATCTTTGGCAGAATAGTAGGTGCTTTAACTCCTGAGCCATTTCTCCAGCTGAAACATTTTTTAGTATGTGGTTTCATGAACAAATTCTTCAGTGTGGCCCTGAAAGCTTTTGGCTCTCCATGTGTCACTTTTCTATTGTTGTGAAGAGATACCATAACCAAGGCAACTTTTAAATGCAAACATTCAGTTAGGGACTTGCTTACATCCAGTTATGTTGTGTGACTTATGTTTTTGTTTTAATCCCATGTGTGGGATAAGAGTGTGGTGTCAGGCAGACAGTCAGGCATGGCACTAGACAAGTAGCAGAGAGCTCACAGCTGACCTTTAAGCACAAAAGACTAGTTCTGGTGGTGTGTACTTTGAAACCTCAACACTCCCCTCTCTTCCTTTCCCTCCCCCATGATTCACTTCTCCAACAAGGCCACACCCTCCTAATCATCTTCAAATAGTTTTACAAAACAGGACCAAGCATTCAAATATATGAATTAGTGGGGCTCATTCTCATTCCAAGTATTATACCATGAAACATAAATATCTCATTGAGAGAGCGAGTAAGAGAGAGTGAGAGAAAGCAAGAGAGTGAGAAAGAGAAAGAGAGAGCAAGAGTGTGTGTGTGTGTGTGTGTGTGTGTGTGTGTGTGAGAGAGAGAGAGAGAGAGAGAGAGAGAGAGAGAGA